TTTTATCCAGGTTATGAAGAAGTAGTTTAATTGGAAGTTGGTGTAACCACATGCACACATCTCTCACGTTGGCAGCCGTTCAACTAAGCGCAACTGCCTTTTTCTATTTCTCGTTTATCGCAAGTATTTCCTTCCAAACAGTAAATTCTGTTCTCTTAGTTATACTCTTACTAAATCAGTTCAAAGGTAGAAATCCTATAAAATAAGGTGACATGATTATTTATTGCTAGATACGGGACGTTAAAGCATATATGAGAGATGGCTCTTTTTCCTTTCATATTTTATTTGAATTTTCGCGATGCAGACCGGTTGGGCGCTCTCACATTCGACTCTGACCACAAACTACTGCAGTGTCAACTACTACTGCATGTGGGCGAGCACCATCTAGACAGAAAACGGCCAAAGCGCTGCAACAACAGTTCGCTGTTAGCTTCCACACTGCACATAGCATCCCCATACAAATCAAGCCACCACAAAAGCTTAGCCACGCCTGCTTTGCGGTTACAAATATGCTGTCATTGCGCAAACTGGGTTCTTTTGTGGCGGAAAATACTTGGTCATTAAACAAGCTTGCCTCGGTCATCCCTGAGCCAGTGTGTTGGTTTATTTTTCATCGATTCGGGGCGAAATGCGGACTCTTGGTGTGTACATGTGCGGAGTTCACCGCCATTCAAAGAATGCGTAGCCCCGATGAACTCGCAAACTATCTTTCTAATGTTCTGCGACGTATATGGAGAGATACTCGCATAATATACAAGGAAATATTGCAGGCAGCGACATGTCCATTTGGGGAAATTTATGTTTCCTAATCCGGAATCCTCCTCTCCCCTTCATTTCGCCATTTTCATGTTGATGTTCTGTCGCTGGGGTGAATCACCTTGTTTGGATCCACTCTCGCCTTGTGTGCACTTTAAACTTGCGTATCCTAGCTAAGTGTGGCACTGAAGTGATCAAGCTGGATGACCGTCGGTGCCGTAAATGGCCGATGGAATCCATCCTGTCGTCCAAGTATATTCACCGGACAGCCTGAACTAGGGCCTTTGTCTCCTTTTATGTTTATGGTCCGATGTTAAAATAAGGATGTTAACACAAATGTACCCAATTTGTGACCCTTCACTATATAGTTACAAATTTCTGTGCTTCGCTATGCAGCCCAGAATAGACGGACCAGAGGGGGCGACCACTATCACCATCATCATCTGGACAATCCTGTTGCATCAGATAATGTGCCAGTTGAGTGGGCAGCCGGGTCACTGCGCGGTGACACCTCAGACGACCTAACCGCCCAGACATAGCCAACATTGTAAGATGTGAATCGTGAGTATCGTTCACGAGGATGTCCTCTCAAGCCCTAGATACGCTAACAGAGAAGTTGAAGAGAACAAATCGCCTCCTAGACAAATCTGAGAGATGTAAAGTTGAATGATAAGATTGCTTCAACCAACTGCTAAACGTCTCTACATGTTATTGACAATTTGAGTGAATAATTAATTCATCGTCAGTGAAGTCTAGATTCGACCTAACTTCAGCGCTGCTCGGTTTATTATTTCAGCTACTGGAGCTGCTTTATTTTTAACGTCTTAACTCGTTCACCAAGTCATCCGAATCAAGTGAACAGACTGGCTGATGTATCCCTTTCGTTATGCCTACAGGTAAATCTCCCATACAAATCGAAGGCGCGTATTCGAGTTATTCAATTTTCTGCACCGTGAGCTGACATACGGGGGAAGGCATGATCATGGTCAATTAGCCAGGACATGACACGTAATTGACATTTCGAAAGCATGATGTGGCGCTGCAATTCTCGTTTCGATTCATATTAATCGGGCAGGTTGCAGCAAGAGAAGACAATATCACATAAATTCCCATGCATACGTCTGGGGTATTTTTCAATACCGAACACGGGCAAAATGTAGTAGCCAACTCACGTTTTCAACTTTCAACTCGTGAAATCAGATGCCCAACATCTGTCGACTTTGTGGGTCACGCATTTACTATTCTTCATAATATTGACCCTATCGTACATGTCCAAACCTGCTCAGTCGTAAAGCCCATACCGAAAGGTGGTAACCCAAGCAAAGTGGATAACTACCGACCGATCTTCCTGACCGCAGTTTTGGCAAAGACGCTCGAGAAGATCGTGAAGAAGAGCCTTCTGCAGCTTCTAGAGTCGAAAAGCCTCTGGACGCCCGCACAGCACGATTTCGTGAAAGGTTGCTCGTGCATCACCAACCTACTGTTGACGAGGCACGAATGGTTACAAGCGCTGAACGAAGGCCAATTGGTCGACGTCATTTACATTAACTTCAGTAAGGCTTTGGACAAGGTAAATCATGCAATGCTCCTCGACAGGTTAAAGGTATGCGGTGTTGGTGGCTCGCTGCACCAATGGATCAGGAATTCCCTTGTTGATCGAAAGTGGAGGGTCCAGGTGGACAACCATTTAACCGACGGGTATCCATCGAGTAATGCCGTGTCCCAAGGCACTGTACTGGGGCCGATTTGGTTCTTAGCCATGAAACGATGTGCCTCAACTACTCCAATCACCTTGTGCGTTGTGTGCAGATGACCTGAATGTGTGGAGAGTAATCCGCACACCCAATGATTGTGACCTGCTTCAGCAGGAACTCGACCGCCTCTCCACGTGGTCTGCAAAGGTCAATTTTCCGATCAACCCGGTCAAGTCGCAGTTCATGAGGCTGGGTAAATGTGAACACTGTCGAAGCTACACGGTGGCTGGTCAACCGGTGCATCCCGCGCCTTCAGTACGCGACCTCGATGTACTATCACGCTACGACCTAAAGTCCATGGACAACACGAATAAGCTTTACCAAAAAAGCCTTCATATGCTTTGGGCGCTCCGGCGCAGCTTCAGCACTTGGTGCGAAGAGATTGCCACTCGCCTCTTCGTCTCAATATTGCGACCAATGCTAGAGTATGGATCTCCCGCGTATTGTTTTATCACCCGGGGTGAGGTAGAAAAGATTGATCGAGTACAGCATGTAGCCATCAGGCTGATTCCCAACTTATGAGGTGTGCTGTACGAAGATCGATGTAAGGAAGTAGGGCTGTACAGCCTAGCTTATCATCGAATGAGGGTTGACGTCATCATGACGCACCGGATAGTACATCTGGGAGAATACGCCGTGTTGAAACCGCTGCTTCATCTGCGCACACAAAGCAGTACACGAGGACACCGGTACAAGTTTGTCGCACCGGATTTGAAGCAGGTCGCTCACCAACTCTGTTTCGAACGCAGAGTGGTGCATGTATGGAAGGACCTGACGTAGTACGTAGTTGAGGCAAAGTGTATGTCGGGGTTTAATCCTGGGCAAACACTTTGCCGACGCAAAATATATTAAGCGGAACACAATATAACGAGTATTTGTCTCTGAGTGACATTAGTTATAGTTACACAGATCAAACTCTACTTGCTGTTTCCAATCAATAATCAGTACTCATATTCCGTAGAGCATCTTTCCGATGCTGGGAAAGTTAGACTCATCAAAACCTTGCATGCCAGAAGCACAGCGTACAACAATAAGGACGCGGTTTACCATCTCCCACTACTCGTCAGTTCCCACCCATAGCATATCCGCGGCAGGCTTTGGTTGACCTGCAGAAGTCGTACAGTTACAATTAATTGACCGTTTTAGAATGAGTACTGCTCACAGATCGAAACATGTCACCTGAGGCCCATCCGACACACGATTGATGCGTACACACTCAGAAAACGCTAAAAGCAAGAGGATTCTGCCAAAATGAATAACAATACTGTCCAAACGTATCTGCTGCACAAGGCAGAGAGTTGTCACCAAATTCGCGCTGTAGCCTTCTAACACTCGAGTGTGTGACACTGTGATTAGTTCACTGGAATGCTAATATTCTAATTTCTAGTGTAGGCTGTGCGAAGTAGTCCTCGTGTGTCGGATGTTGGAACAAATCATGCAAATATCTCACCCTGACTCCTCGTTTGCTCGTATTGAGGCAAAGGAAACACATGTCAGCCCGTAGAACCACATTTTGCTCAGTCATTCTATAGGGATGACAGACTAGCAATCGTTACATCGGCTAGGAAACGTTGCAACATTGTCCGCTTGAATTCGGAGTAAAACCTTTAGTCCTCCACGTCACGAAAGTCACAAACGAACACTCATAAAGCATTCACAAGGCGAACTAGTGTGGATATTCAATAATCTTATGCAACTTGGTGCCTTACTTGGAGTTAAAAAAGGGAAGGTCTAAGATACGTGACAGGTTCAACCGTCCGGAATAAATGCCTAATTCAAGAACACAGTAGGCGACTACGAAACGGCAGTCGTCTGTCCTTCAAGAACTCCATTTTCTAAGGGTTATGCGAGTTGTCCTGCCATATTTCAAAAATCGTTGGATCGCGGAACGCAACTGATGGTACAACTTGTGAGACATAGAATCAGTCAATGTGTCCTTCGAAAGCAAAATTATGGTAAGTATAATTAAGTTGTGAATAGTATCACGTTGACTGCTAATGGCAGCACAAAAGAGGAAACTGAATGCTTCAAGGGGTTGGCATTAGATTGTGTTGGTGAGCATCGACTTCCTGTTGTTTGGCGTGTTCGTTACAGCTGCACACATGGCTGCCAATATCAGGGGGTCAACCGTGTTCAGCCCGTTTAATTCTGTCCAATACACCTGTCCAGTGTTCGCGGAACCAAACAGGCCGGTGTTGGTGACTGGATAACCATCAAGCCTGGACGATCCTGCTAAATCGAAGGTGTACCTTTGACTGCAAGGCTGAATGAATTCGTCGATAAGTCTTTTGCTTGCAATATGAAGTCTTTCATGTTTGCGAAATTTCGCTCTTCGGTTCTGAAACCATACCTGTTGAATGGAAAAGAGTATGCGTATATTTTCTCCAACCTGCAACCTGAGCTGACATGAACAGAATTCCATGCGGTTGGATATCATCCATTTTATCTTTTCGATTGATCGATGCCATCGCAATTTAACTCAAATTTGTTGGAAACACCGCTTAAAGAATAAACTTGCTTGCCCTCTTGTTTTTGGTCAGGGAACCTAAACCTTCACCTACCAGGCTTCGACTCCTGCGACGCGTGCTTTTTGTGGGCAGAAATGCCGTAAAGTGCATGTATTTAAAATGTTTGTTCACAAATATCTCACCGTGCAAACATCATATCCATGCTACAGATATCTCAGCCTTGGGAAACGGTATTTGAAAGTGGTGTCCACATAATATAGAAGGATGATGGCTGTTTAGCTCAGCTTGTTAGTGCTTGTGAAAGCGATTTGGTTCCATTTGTACAGGATGAGACAATTACACTGTGGGTTTTATCCTACGGAAAACTGTGACAGAATCCCACATTGGGATATTCTTATATTCATCGACGGGACCACATCCAAAGTAGCTAGTGACAAAAAGACATGCCTTCACTTGAATGTGAGGAAACCCCCACCCGACACGACTGTGCGCCTATTGGTCTGTCCCTATGCGGGAACAGTCTCTTACACGAGCGAGAAATAAAACATATATATTTATCTGCTGCATCCGTCAAGAGGAATAAAGACTTCCAATTCAAACCTGGCTAGCGTTGGTGTCTCCTAACGCCTTGACTTGAATCTCAAAGACAGTAAGCGGACTTGGTTGCATAAAATGATTCACATGGCGAAGAGCTGACCTTAGTGTGACACTTGTGTTGTTTCTTTGTCTCTCCTTGTCAAGATTATCCTCCTCCAACTATGCTCTCATTGAAGATGCATAATGAAAGTGACATATAGTGTTACTTGTGTGGATTTGACTATTTTTTCCCTGCATTAGATGCTGTGTTACAGCAGTCATAGTAAACCAGGATAGCCGAGATATTTCTGACTTCTAGCCAACTGCTGGAATGGTACTGATAGGTATCCATTCGATTGTTATCCTAAACACACATGTACTAGGCTACTGATAATGTTGTTGAAGTTTTGATGTGACAATTTTAACAACTGTATTTCTGAATGCATTTTTAATTAGTTACTCTAACCTAGTACGGTTAAACGTCCAAATCTAGGCACCTACATATCCTGACCACATCTTCAAGTTATTTTTCAGCGTTTGAACGTTCACTCCTCCTCCTCCTCGTCACCATTATTATCAGCATACATTAGCTGAAGGTGAGAAACCCGTATCAACTATTGTGCCGCAATATATAAAGGTACGAGGTACGAAAAAAGCAAGATGCTGAAACTTATAACAGTTAAAAACAAACAACAGACTAGTTAGTAACGTATTACGCGTTCAGAGGGAAATCGTGGTTGGTGGGAGAAGATAAGCGATTTTGTAACGCTTCTTGTTTTCCTCCGCTCTGTCACTGACAACCGTTGTACTGTTGCTTTGCTGACCTGTGAGACTGCGACTGTCTGACTGCTCAGTCACGCGCCCAGCCAATGGAAGGAATACACAGGCCAGAACTCGGTAGACAGAGAGTATATCTACAGGAGAGGTTAGCTCTGTTTAATGGTAAATGAAACATGCTAATTTAGGAGGTCAGGGTCACTCACTCTTCTGTGTCTGGTTTTCAGCCAGTGTGAGTGAAGTACGCTCCAAGAGTTTATCATATTGACGGAATAGTTCGATTCGGTTGACGCGGGCTGGTATTTGTTGGTCGATCGATTCTCACTCGATTCTCGGTAAGGTCCAAAGTCGTAGCACGGCACTGCTGATGAACTTTGCATGTAGCGGACAGCCTACGTACCCCGTATGCGCCTCTATTTGGCGGGATGTGGAGGGACAAAGAAACTCACGACACAAACGCCACTGAGGTCGGCTTCTTGCCATGTCAACTAATGTTCATCGTGTGTTCATCGTCCTTCGGACCCAAGCCAGGCAGTCGGAACACACCAACCGACGCCAACTTCGAAGTGAAGGATTACGTTACTCTTGACAAATTCATCACTTGGCCACCTTTCCTCTTCTTCCAACCGCACCCCGGTGCGTAAACAACACACGTAGCGAGAGTCGGTGTGGTGGGATGCGCAATACGTGGCCCAGCCATTGGAGTCTGGTGCATGATATTATGGTGCTGAGCGATTCACTCACTCTTCCTGCACCAAATACGCGAAGCCGAACATGCTCATTGCTCTCGCCGTGCTCCCACTAGACATGAGCTAAGCTGCGAAAGCAGCGATGATCGAACGTGACTAGCCTCTTTATGTTTGCCGACTTGCTGGGCCCAGTTTGGCAACCATACATTAGGGTTGAACGAACGGCTACATTGTAAACGCTTCCCTTCAGGGCGAGAGTGATATCGCGCCCGCACCACAGATGGCGGAGATTAGCAAAATCGCTTCGAGCTTTTGCTGTGTGGTTTGTGATCTCATCGTCCGTTCCGGTGGCGCTGATATAGCTGCCTAGATACTTGAATTTCCCGACTACTTCCAGCTGATCCCAACCAAGGGTCAGCGCAGGGGTTGGTCCCTGTCAATCTTGAAGAAGGACTTTGCATTTCCACTGTGCAAAGCATAGCCCAAAACGACTGACAGCCACTGCTAATTTGTGCAGTGCCACTTGCCACGTTTGAAAGCAGCCATAGATAAGTGCAGTGTCCTCGGCTTACTACAAGTCAAAAAGTTATTCGCTTGGGATCTGCGCCACGCCTTGCAGGTCCGTGTCCAGTGAATGTAGTTTCCATAATCTCATCGACGGCGAAGCCAAAAAGGAAAGGTGACAGTGGGCATCCTTGTCTCACACCACTGGAGCTATTGAAGGACGGTGACAGCTTGCCGTAACCCCTCATTGTGCCCGAACTATGCGCGTACAGCGTTCTTGTGCTATTTGGATATTTTTTGGCCACTTCATTCCTCAGTAGACAGTCACAAAGGGCAAATCCACCAGCCGAATCGCAGGCATCTTTGATTTCGTGAAAAATATGGCGGTGCTCCAACAATTGTCGCAGTATGAAAATGTGATTAATGCAGCCATAACTTCGACAAAACCCCGCTTGTTCCTCGCGAATCTGGACTTCACGTTTGCCAGCAAGTCCATGAAGAACGACAGAGGTGAGTATCTTAGAACTAATTCTGCTCAGACTGATCCCTCTGTGATTGCTGCATTCAAAACGTGAGCCCTCTTAAAAATTGAAACTATTGTCGAGCGGCTCCAGTCTTCTGGGACACTTTCCTGCTCCCATAGCCCCACAAGTAACTCGCGTAGATCATCTACAAGAGCAAGTCCCCAACTTTGAAGAGAGCTGGAAGGATTCTCTCCGCTTCTGCAGCTTATTTATTTGCCACAGTCCGATCTCAGGTTCGACATCTGCACGGGTCGATGTGGACGGCTCAGGACGAAAGACAATCGATTGCCGAAGGAGAAGCTAGTAACACTGGATGATTAAGTTGTTTTTCAAAGTGTTCGTCCCAACTCTCTAAGCATTTTGATAATCTGTGGATCCGCCACCCACCCACATCGCGTATGTTCCCGTTAAAACCAGGTCTCCTTGTGTCCGTTTCACGTAACAAATGGAATAACTTCTGATGGTTACCAAGAGCTGCGGCCATTTCCATCTCCGATGTACGTGGAGACTACCATGCTTAGCGCCATGTCTTCACGCTAGCACGCCGTTTCGCCCTATGATCTATGTGACTCTCGTTGTGTTCGCTTCCAGCTGATATCCGTTGGCGAGCAACCAAAAGTTCCAGAGAAGGCATGGAGACCCAATGTCTAGGTTGTCAACTTGAGTTGCCACACAAAGACATGTCTGCTGCCAATAACGTCTGGTGGATAAGCGACCAGTGGTTCTCTACTGTGTTCATAGAGCGCTTACTCAACCCGGATGCCAGCGTACTTTGACACGTATTCCGGACATCTGGCTTCGCCAGCTGGCATGTAGCTATGCGCTCACAGCGACGCCGCATGCGCCCACCGAAGCGAACGGTAAACTCGGCACAAACGAGTGCGTGGCGAGAGTTTACGCTAATGCTCAAATTGAGCGACGGTTTTGGACAGCCTTTCCAGCAGTAACTGATGGCGATGTGGTGCATTTGCGTACAAGCCTGGTTTGAGGCGGGTGGGCGTCAAGTCAGTCTTCTATGGGTGCTGTGTCGGAGGTTGGTGCTCGCGAGAACCAGAAAAGCATCTTCACACAGATGCAGCCACCGCTCACCATTATCATTACGGAGGCCTACACCGTGTTAGCCGCCCAGATGAAGCTCATCATTGGACAGTTCTCGAAATTGAGTCTTTAGATCACCAATAAGCATGACAGTATCCGTACATATTCTGTAAAGAAGTAGCTCGTTCAGTGGATGGTTGCCATCTTTTACCGACTCGGTGCTACAGGCTGTGGGGGCGTAGGCTGCAATAACAAACAGACATGGCTTGTCTATGTGCGATTTCGAAACTCTGAACGAGCCAGCCAATCTGACGGCGCACGTCCGAATGTTGATAAGCAGCAGATGTCGATCAGCAGGGTCTCTATACTATGACCTTGATGTGTCTACCGATTGTCATGGACGCACTGTGGATTACCGCACTATTCGCGCCCTGAGAAAACCCCGAACATTGCTAACGGCAGTCAGCAGATCCAATCGGATCTCACACAGTGCACTAGGCACACAAGTGCGGCGTCTGCGTACCCCAACTTGCACAGCTCTTCACGCGATGAGGCGCAGCCTAGGGATAATTGAATGATCGATACATTCTGGTCAGCGTTTGAGGATAGAATGTTTGGCGGACCAAGATAAGCGGTGGCGCTCTTGTCATTTGTGAGTCAAGCGCCCTCTCAGCAATGGGACATGAGTTTAAACTCCCGTCCGTGACGTTTGTGCAACCGGAATGCCGTAGCTTGCCTGAGGCTCAGCGCGTTCAACTTATTCGGTTGTGTGGC